CACACACACACACACACACACACACGCACGCACGCACGCACACACGCACACGCACACTCTCTCACACACGCACACACGCACTCTCTCTCTCTCACACACACACACACACACACAGAGACTCTTGAACAGCACTGTGTATTTGTCATTCGTTTGAGTGGAGCTGAGTGTTGTTGTGCTGTGCTTCTCTCTCAGGACTGTGAGTTCAGTCACTCGTCGTACCTGCAGGTTTTCTGCGGTCTGTGCGCTCTGGCCATCGTCCTGTGTCTCGTCACGTCTCTGGCGGTGGAGTGGACGGGTTTGCGTGTTTCCCGAGAGCTTCACTGCAGCCTCCTGCGCACCATCGTCCTCGCACCCATGAGGTCTGTGTGAGTTCAGCAGCTCGTGATCATCCTCTGAAACCACACACATATACAGCAAAAAATGCTGCTGGGGTATAAATTGATGCTCTTTGGATGCGGGATTTCTAAATTCATCAAAAAACGAATCACTCCAAGGCACTCGAAAGCCTTTATTCACATGACTTTACATTAAAAATAACACACCAGTGATTATGCACATGTTTTCTTACCGGATAAGAAATTTATCCTACTTAGTTGAGCGCATAAGTTTTTCATGCACATTTTTTGAATTTATGTGCATCTTGGCGTTTCCATCCAGCGCTTTTTTATGCAATATCCCAAAATGCACATAATAATAGGTGAATGGAAACATAGCTATAGTCACCTGATTAAGTGTCAAAGCATCACACACATAATTATTTTTCGTAAATATAATTGTACCCAATAAATTCAAATTATTAATATTAATTAATACGAAAAATTATTCTCTGTGCGATGCTTTGACACTTAATCAGGTGACTATGTCATGTGATGAACTGATTGTTTAAATGTTGCACTTGTGTGTTGTTTTTAATGTAAAGCCATGTCAATAAAGGCTTTTTTTCACTACAATTTCGAGTGTCTTGGAGTGATTCATTTTTTTAAACACATATACTGATCTGTGTTTCCCACCAGGTTATTTGAGACGACGCCCCTGGGGAACATCCTAAACCGATTCTCAGCGGACACCAACACAATCGATCAGGTACTGGAGGATAAACAGACTTTGCATTTCACAGGAGACCTCATGCATTGCGCTTGCGGCCAGGATCGGTTTGGTCAGTGTTGGAATGTGTGTGCGTGTGTGTGTGTGTGTGTGATTGCAGCACATCCCGGTGACTCTGGAGTGTCTGAGCCGCTCGACTCTGCTGTGTGTGTCCGCGGTGGGCGTCATCTCTTACATCACGCCACTCTTCCTCAACGCTCTGCTGCCGCTGACTGTCGCCTGCTACTTCATTCAGAAGTACTTCAGGGTGGCGTCCCGGTTAGTCACAGAGTATTAAAATAAAAACAATGTCTGTGATAGATACAGTTTCACCACTGATGTCTGGAAAAATTCTAGCAGCTTACCTGAACTATTATTTTCTTTATTGTTGTTGTTTTTTTTAGGTTGTAATATTTTGTATTATATTTCTTACATCCCCAAAATGTAAAAAATTAAATTA